TGTTTTACAAATAGAATAACAAAATAAATACTCATATTGTGCAGCAACTTGCATTTCATATTCTAGAATATAACTCGATCAAAGACTTTGATCCAGGGACTGGGGAGATGGCTCAATAGAATAAGCGCTTCCCTGGCAAGCACAAGGATCTGAGTTCAATCCCCGGTTCCAGAAAAAAAAAAAAAAAAAAGAACTTTAATCCAATAGAGATTTACCTAATAGAATTATTTATCAACAGAAGTGTTTTTTTTTTTTTTTTTGACATCAGTTCAGAAATGTATTTTGGTATAGCTGTACTTTCACAATCTGGGCTGTCATAAAGCACTATTATCATAACCCAAACCAGAACTTGCATTATTAAAATGCAATCGCTAGGGAGATAGCTCAGTGGTCTAAGCTGCTGCCTTACAAGCTCAAGGACCTAGGTTCGAGCCCCAGTACCCCATGCTGTGCAGGCTCCAGAATCCTGGGCGTGCCACGCTGACCACTGAAACCAGGCATGGTGTGCACGCCTGTAATCCCAGTGCCGGGGAGACTGAGACAGGAGAATCACTGAGTCTGAGCTGTGTAGTGAGACTCTATGCCAAATAAATAAAATTAAATGGTTATGCTCTGCACGGTAATGCTTTCGTTAGTGAGAAACAAAATACATGGCAGTGGCTTTTGTTATTGCTTTGAAAATACTTTTAAATAATCTTAAATTTTAAAATATTTTACAATGTTTTAAAATATTGAATTTCTACCTTCTTTTCCACTAAAATAAATTCCAGATAGACTGAGTAAATAAGAACAAAAAATGGAATAAAACACTGCCAGATGAAATGACAAGTTAATTTTTATTTTTCTCAAATATATACTTCCAAAGCAATAAAAGCCATTACCCTTGTAAACAGTGAAAACACAAAATGATGAAATAGGTACCTTTCAGAAATACAGATTTTAAAAAAATTATGTAAATGCTCCTGGGTATTGAGAACTTCCCATCTTAGCCTAATTTAGGTGTTGCAGATTTTAGAGCTGAGCTGGTATTCAGTAAAAAACCTCAATTAGAACTTCCTGGGCTGGTGAGATGGCTCAGTGGTCTACAGCACCTACTTAGAACAAGCTAAGCAAAGCAAAGCAAAGCACCGGGACCGCGGTTCAATCCTCCAGCACCACCTGTCAGCCAGCCCAATAAATGAATAAATAAAAAATTAAAAATTAAAAAAAATTAAAAAAAAAAAAGAACTTCCTTCCCAGGAGAACAAGTGACACTGACATGCACTCCGCCTCGCTGTTTATCAACAAGAATCCAGACCGACAGAACTCCAAGAACAGCGGTCACCTCCCTCGATTGAGCACGGAAGAGCAGTGGTTTGTTCCATGGGAGAACTTTCAAAGTACAGACCATAACGCTTCGCTCCCACTACACTGAGCTGTGTGAGACCGAGCTCACTGACATCACCACCATTCCCTGCTGCCACTCAACAGCTGGAAAAACTGCCCAAGAATGTCCACTCACTAAATCCTGGATGATCAGGGGTCAGAGACCATGCTGCTTTGAGAACTCCAAGTAGGCCAGCCAAATGGCTCAGTGGATTAAAGCGCCTGCAAGCAGACGCAGGGGCTGGGGGTTCGATTCCGGGGCGCACTGAGACAGCAACTGAGACTGGGTGTGGTGGCGCCCGCCTATAATCCCAGCTCTTGGGAAGGCTATAAATAGGCGGGTCACTATGAGTCTGATCTAGTAGTGAGACCCTGAACACCTTGTAGACCCTTCCCCAAAATACAAAAAAAAAACCAAAACACTCCAAGAAAATTGAAACCACTGGCATATTATGACTCACTTCAAAGCTTGTATTTAAAGTCTTTTCACTTTTATGTTAAAACATGAGTCTACACCCAGAAAATGCCTGCTGAGTTGCCTGACGCTCCTACCTGCAAAGCCTCTTCTACAGAGCTCGCCTGGGCATCTTCATGTCTCAGAAGACCCAAGACGGATTTAGTTTCTGCCTCCCAGATGTCCACTTGTCCAGCGAGTTTTTCGACCTCTTCAGCCACTTTCAGTTTTCCTGGGGATTCTTCATTTTCTCTTTCATGTTCTTCCCTGGCCTACAACATTGAAAATTATTACTAAGAACTTACTGATAATGTTAAGTGTCAACACTTGCATTATAAAATAATTTTCCATTTCAAAAAGTTCCACAACTCTCCTAAAGAACACTAACTAAATCCATAGGCTTGGTTCATTGACCAACATGGATGCGTGCTGAGAAGTACACTCATTGGTTGTGGTGCAGCGTGAACACCATGCAGCACACGTACACAAACTGGACTGTCTCCCCCACCGCACACCCGGGTTGTCCACTACACTACACGGTGTGTTTCTTCCCTCACTGCCATGCAGGACATGACTGCATTTTAATGATACACAACCTCGACTGGACTGTAACACTTCGCAACAACATATATCCTTTAAAACTATTTTATTTCACTGGGTTTTTTTAAATGTATTTGGTTGTTAGAGGGCCTCACTACACAGCTTGGGCTCATACTGATCCTCCTGTTTTCAGTTGCCCCAGAGCAGGGATTGAGAGAGTTTGCTACTATGCCCAGACTCTGGCTGGTTCATCCCGCCCTGGGGGCAGGGCTGGTGGGGCATATGGTGTGGGGATCAAACTGTGGTCCCTGCACTTACTTAAGCTTGCCTAATCAGGTGCTTTAGTCCACGGAGCTATCTCACCAGCCCATCAAAACAATTAATTTTAAAGCAGAAAAAACACTTGCTCGCAGAGAGAAGCCCTCTACCCTTCAGCACCCCTCTTTCCTATAAGCCTGGCGTTCTCAGTTAAGTTTCTGTTTTTCTCCCAGGATAATATAACCTACGTCCTTGTTTCTGCCATATCTGAAAAAGGTGAAATTCAGGGGGACCTTCTGTCCAATCAACTAATGGTGAATGCGCTGCTCTTGTACCTCCTACTTGCTTATAGATCCTATAAAAATCCTGCCCCCTACGAGGTGGGGGGCTTGACTCCTCGGTGAAGGACCCCAACCACGCCCGCTGGCCTGAATAAAGCTGCGCTCCTGCCTCCAAGCTGCGGGTGTCACACTCGGTTTGCTGATCTCGGTCTGCTGCAATGGTTACAGGGAGCTGTAAACACCTTCTAGGAGGCGGGAACACTTTTTTATGAGCTGTAACACTTGTTACAACATGTAAATTTTGATTTCTATCAGTTGAATATTATCAGATAAGATTTACAGATAAGATTATAACCTAGAACACGAGACTTCTCATATTTCTCACACTCACATAAAACTACATACAGGTATCAGTAATAGTCAATGTAACCTAACATCAAAAGAGACTCAGACTCATAAAAGAATCAGATCTTGTGCCATTAGTAATCGCTGAGAAGTCTACGGCTTGATACGCTACAGCTTTACCAAATAGATATAATTTGAAGTTTCATTTTTCATCAGAGCGAATGACAAATACTCAGAGCTACAGCATCTGAGAGCATATTGTACAAGCTCAGATCTTTTGTGATTTTCTGTATTAGGTATTACTCTGGGGGTTGTTGCTTTTGCCCGTTTGTTGTGGTGCTGGGTATTGGAGCAGGGGCCCCACACACACTAGGCAAGCACAGAACCCCCCAGCTAAATCACAGCCCCAACCAGGAATCTTTACAGTTGAAATCAGCAGGGCAACTGTGGAAAAGCCAGCTGAAATTACTTAGGGAAACCCGAGTACGCTGTTGTTTCCTAGGAGGTGCATTTTGGGAAACACTGGCATTAAACTTTCATATATATGGTTTTTCAATATATATTCCTTTTTCATATTCAGATCTATGAAGTATTCTACCTCACCAAGCAAAACAAAGATAATCAATGATATTTGTCCCCATTTTACAAAAAAAAAAGCAAAATGCAGAGTTCAGACTAACTTTCAGCTAGTCCGTGGTCAGAAGTCATCTGAAAAAAAAAAAAAAATCCATTCAATGGGCACCACGCAGAGGCCACGCCCACTTCCACAGGACCTGGGGTGCCACGTGGGCTGAGGCCACGCCCACTTCCACAGGACCTGGGGTGCCACGTGGGCTGAGGCCACGCCCACTTCCACAGCACCTGGGGTGCCACGTGGGCTGAGGCCCACAGGCTTCTGTGCTAGAGGCTATGCAGGAAGCGAGCCACCCCAGCATTTCCTGGAAACTGCTTGCACTGGAACGTTATCTAATATGCCCCACGCTTACCATTATTCCAACAATATAGTGTTTTGAAAAGCAAAACAGCAAAAGTAAATTATTCCTACAAAGTATAACCCTTTTACCTTTAAATTCTGATCGTGATTTTCAGGAATTTCTGACGTATTCGTTGAAAAATCAACAGTTGTTTTTTCTTCTTTAGATAACAGAATATTTCCAGAATCTTCAGGAATGGGCTGATCCTCTTTTTTTGTAAGTGGCAGTTTCATTTCCTATATAAATTTAATTCTATAGTTAATGCTCATTTCTGTTTGCGCGCTGACAGAATAAACAGTAAGTAGACATAATATATTTAGACTTTTTTATAGTTTATGAGTCAAAACAATGTTGTGAAGTGGGGAATGGTTCAAGAAACAAGTCTCAAATTGTTACTAAGAAGGAAGAGAAAAAATTAAAAATATTTATTGAAGGGACCAGGGAGATAACTCAGCAGCATAAGCACCTGCCTGGCAAATGCAAGGTCTCAATCCTCAATAATATATATATATATATAAAGTTTGCTTTTTTTAGACACAGTATGAGATATTTTTAAAAAGTCAGTATATTGAAACCTAACAGGCAAAATTAGGCTTATTCTATTCTCTAATGATAAATGAATTTCAACTTTCAAACACAAAAAGGGTTCAAGAATTAAAAATGGTCTTAGATACACACCCAACAGAAATCAAACCACACACACATAGACACTTATCAGCTATATTGTTCCAAAAAGCACACTGTTGACAACAGCTCAAAACAGAGAAAGAACCCAAATGTGTATCAATGAATGGATTTAAGAAGTGGTATATCCCCACAATAGATGATTTTGTTTTAACAAAAAGGAATGAAGCACAAATGACCACACACTGCAGTGTGGATAAACCCTAAAAAATTAAAAACATTATGCTAAGCAAAAATAAATGAGTCACGGGCGACCACTTATTCTAGGATTCGCTTATGAACGACACAGAAGAGCAAATGTGTGGAGAAAGAAAGCAGAGGAGGAGGGACCGCCCAGGGCCAGGAGGCCTGGGGGAAGTGGGGCCTGAGTGCTGGCGGGCACAGGGCTTCCCCAAGACATGGCGCATACATTCTAGTTGGCTATGGTGACAGCCGCATGACCCTGAATATGCTCAACACCATCAGGCCATGGCATGGCCTGGGAATTGCATCTCAATAAAGTTGCTGAATGAAACAAACAGGACTGGGAAGATAGCTCAGTGGTCTAAGCACCTGCCTGGCAAGCGCAAGGACCCAAGTTCCATCCCCAGTACCACAAGCCATGCTGGCCCCAAAACCTGGCCCCAAA